TTGGATTTTTTACTCATTAGCTTTTGGCCATCCATTATTCCTTAATATAGGCTCTTAAAGATGTGAGTTGCCTTGTGAGTTCTGCTGTAGCTGCTTGCCACAATCCTTGCATGCAGTAATTTTTTTGTTGAGGTCTAATCATTTGCTGCTCTCCTTATATTGTTCCCATCCATTTCTTATTTAGAAGCATTTTATAAATGTTATGTCTGTGGGTGTTATGAAGCTCCTTTGCTAATGGTTTCTAATTCATCTAGGGGGTGGAGAGCATAGTCTACTGAACCCATGTCTCCAAAATTTTTGAAACTGCTTCACAAGTCAGAACATCACCAGCTTTTTTTTTTTGGTGGGGTTTATTTATTTATTTTTTATTAAGATATCATTGATATACAATCTTAATGAAGGTTTCACATGAGCAACATTGTGGTTACTACATTCACCCATATTAACAAGTTCCCTCCACACCCCATCGCACTGTCCATCAGTGTAGGAAGATGCTATAGAGTCACTACTTGTCTTCTCCGTGCTGTACTGCCTTCTCCATACCCCCTCTACATTATGTGTGCTGATCATCATAATGCCCCTTAATCCCCTTCTCCCTCCCTCCCCACCCACTTCCCTTTGAGAACAATCACCAGCTTTTGCGCTGTTCTCTGAGAGCTTTGGGAGGATGTGTGACCTCTAGTGTCAGGTGAAGGCTTTTACACACACACCCTCACTTTCTGTGGGTTGCTCAAACATCCCACTCTGTCGCTGCATTTGTACTGTGCCTGTGTGGGCATTACTGAGGAGGAGTGTGGCCTTTCCCCCAGGTGGCAGTTTGTCACTCGTCAGACCAGACGGGGTGTCACTCATCAGGTCAACTGCCCCAGTCACGGGCTCTCAGCGTCCGGGTGCTTCTCCATGGCACACAGACAGCTGCATAATCTTCTGACTGGGTCTTACTGAGCCTCCTAACTTCTCCTGGCTGCCTCTCCTGCCCCTCCGCCCTCAGCCTGCCCCACACCAGCAGCTGCCTGCTAGGGCTGGCATGCAGCGGTGCAGTGTGTCCCTCTCTGTCTCAGCAGAGCCCACCTGCCCCATTCTCCCAGAGCCTGTGTCCTCCCAGAGTGTCCCCATCTGCCTTCCCCACACCCACCTCCTGCTGCCCTCACCTCACCAGCCACCCCTGCTCGTGTTCTCCTGGCAGGAGGGGGAGGGGAGGAGCCCAGTGGAGAGCAGGTGGGTAGGACGACACCTCACCTCATGGCTGTCTGAGGTTTCCGACCTGGTGAAGCCCATGCCTTTCACGAGGGGCCCAATAACAACGTGAGATACACACTTGTTAGGGCGTGTGTGCCTTTGTGTGTGCATGTGTGCAGTTTGCAGCTGAATGGGCTTCTTTTGTTTGAACTGTGCCCAGGAGGGGCAGTGACATCCTTGGGGACTTGTCCTTTGAAGCTGATTTCTTGTGGCGGCTGCTGAACAAGACGTTAAAAACCACTGCCTCTGTTGCTAAGTGGGTCGCACACAGTGGCAAGAAGAGGAATCACATCCCCTGTTTCTGCTCAGTCTCCTTTCTTAACACCAACTGTGTTTTAAGTAGAGAGCAGCAGAGCGTTCCTCCCACCCTCTCCCACCCCAGACCTTCACTGTTACTCGTATCCAACCCACAGGGTGCTCAGTCTCCCCAACTCCCTGAGGCACATTGGCAATGTCGGAAGAAGTGGGTCATTACATGAGTGTGTCTGTCACATCATGTTGAAGATTTCTGGTCTCGTGGTGTTCCTTACCAATGTAGGGATATACAGGGCTATATATATTTAGTAAACTAGCTCCCTTTAGATGGTTCTGAAATGATACAAATTGCAAATGGAATGTCACTTGGTTAAAGTTCATTAATTTCTGGTTTTATCGCCTCATTATCAGAGAGTGCCACCTGCACTATTTCTGTTTTCTGTAGCTTATCAAGAGAGCAGTCCTGCCTGCTAGGTTCCTGAGAACCTCTTTGGGGATGGGACCACAAGTCTCTGTTCCATCTGTTTTCTTCCATGTAACACTCCTACTTTAATTTTGGCATTCCAATGTCTTCAGAACTGCTCATTGTCACTGAATCTGTGTCCTAGATGAGTGACCCTTTTCAGAGAGGAACCCTCCATTGTCCATGGGAAGAAAGAGGCCTTAGGGCTCCTAGGGACCTGCTGCTTCTTTGCAGAAAGTTTAAATGATGGCTCTTGTTTTTACTCACTTGCCTCCCCAACTTACCTTTGGAGCTGTGCTGGAACACATGGCATGAGGTGGCTGGTCCCTGCTGGCTGTGCCCCAGTAGGCCCAGGCTTCAGCTTTCTTTACCTTACACATTATTTACCACTTATTCATCCACTTTCCACATTTCAGTGTTGTGTTGAAAACTCTTGTTGGCAGTTCTCTTTCTCCTGACTTCTGAGTGCTGGTGGGTTCGTGGCCTTCTTTTCTGTGAGTGTCATTTTAGTGCAGTTTCTGTAAGGGTGAAGAAAAAGTGTGAATTCTGCCATGTTTAATGAGAAGTTTCTTCTACTGCTTTTAAAAAAAAACTTCTGAGTATTTATTACCTTAGACTTTTCAATTGAGTATAATCATATACCATAAAATTCACACTTTTAAAGTGTACATTTAGTATTTCTGAGTATATTATTTTGATGGTGCCACCATCGCCATTGAATCACAGGACATTCTCATCTCCCCAAAAGAACCTGTCCCCGTTAGCAGTCACTCCCTGTTCCCTCTTTCCTCAGCCCTGAGACTTCTGGCTGCCTCGTCTCTGTGGACTTACCCACTCTGGACATTTCATATCAACCAGTGGCTTTCTGTGTCTGGCTTCTTCCCTTGGTATAGTGTTTTTGAGGTTCATCCATGTTGTATCCATTGGTCGTTCCTTCCTTTTTTGTGGCTAAATGATACTCCACTGTAAGGATGTGCCAGTGTATTTATCCGTTCACCAGTGGAAGGACATGTGGGTTGTTTTTACCTTTTGGCCATTGTGAGCAATGCTGCCATGAAGGTTTTTGTGCGGACGTTTTCAGTTCTCATGGTGTGTACTCAGGAGTGGAACTGCTGGCTCATACAGGAGCTGTGTGCCTCGCTTTCTGAGGAATCGCCGGCGGATCCCCAGACCTGGCGCTCTGTTCTGGGTCCACACCGGCCTGACTAGGGCTCCTGTTCTCCACAGCCTTGTTGCCACTTGCTGCCTTCTGTTTTTTCCCTCGTCCTTCAAATTATTATTTTCTGATTCTTCTTTTAATTACTGTTATTGCCCTCCTAGGTGGATATGAAGGGGTATTTCATAGTGATTTCAATTTGCATTTTTCTAATGGTTAATAGTATTGAGTTACTTATCATGTACTTATTGGCCATTTGTAATGGCCTCAGGCCATTTGTAAACCTTCCCTGGAGAAAGAAATATGAATTCACACCATTTGCTCATTCTTAATTCTTTTTCTAATTGTTGAGTTGTTGGAGTTCTCTACATAGTCTGACATTAATCCTTTCTCAGATAAATGATTTGCAAATATTTCTCCCATGCTATAGGCTGTATTTTCATTTGTGCCTTTTGAAGACTAAAGTTATTAATTTTAATAAAATGTGTCTAGTTCATCTATTTTTTGTTGTCATGGCCTGGAGCCTCATGCCTGGAGCTGCCCCCTGGGGTGGGGTGGTGAGCGCTTGCTGGTGTCATATCCATGAAATCATATCCACAACCAGCATCGTAAGGGTTTTTCCCAGTATTTTCTTCTGAGAGCTCTGTAGTTTTAGCTCTTAAGTCTTTGATCCAGAGCAAATTTTTGTATATGGCATGAGGTAAGGGTCCAAGTTCATCATCTTGCTTGTGGATGGCCAGTTTTCCCTGTGACAATAGTTGCAGTGATTATTCTTTCCCCATTGAATTGTCCTGGCACCTCTGTTGAAAATTCTTCCATTGCTGTTTGATGATTCCCAGTGGACCTTAAGGCCTGACTCCACAGGCAAGGTCTCTGGGCCTTCCTTTTGTAACACACTGAACCTTTTACTGCACTTGTGTGTGACTGTCTTCCCAACTGCGGGCCCATATGGAAGAGGAAAGTTTTTATTCAACATTATCTTTTGTGGAATTTTCTTATATTTGGTATTTTCTCATTTATTTCATTTTGAACCTCAGTGTATTTTATGGGTGGGACATTTTAGCTTGAAACAAACTCAGTGTTGTTTATTCCCTAAAGCAGTCACCTGATCAGCTCAGAGAAATGTAAAGACATTTAACACAGGTTCCTAAGTATTTTTGGTGCTATGACCTCACAACTCCAAGTGTTGGATGCTGTTATAAACAAGCCTCTTAAGATGTCTACAACAACAGTTACTTGTAGAGGTCATAAATATAAACCTTATGATAAAGATAGAAAACACAGCAAATTGAGGATAATGTTGTACAGATGGGTATTTGTGACTAGCGATTCAATTTCCCATTTAGGCAACAAATGTGAATTCAAAAAGTAGAAAAATCAAGAAACTGAGACCAAGGTGACAGTGATGTGCTCTGGAGAAACGTCAGGTGGTGCGGAAGACAGCTCTCTTTGGACAGAATTGTACGCTGAAGAGGAAAGGTCTGAATGAAATCATTATGTCAGCTATGAATGTTGAAAACCAGCAATGTACTTATATTAATATGTAATTTCATAAATGTTTTATTTTTAAATCAGTGTATATACATATAAATATAATAAAAACTATGAGCAGAAAGTTGACTGATTCGTTTACATTCCCAAAAGTTTGTACAGATTCACCAAGAACCTCTTTTGGGCTCCCACTCAGACAATGGAGCCTTATGCCCAGAGCTGCCCCCGGGGGCGAGCTCTCGCCAGCATCTCTCCACCACGTCCCCCCTGCCCTCACACTGGGTGCCTAAGAAGTGTCCGGCGAACCGCTGGATGAAGGGAAGCAGTGCCTTCACAGCCCGGTCCTAAGGACACGGCCGCGCGCTGGGCGCTCACATGCCTGTGTCTGTGTTTCAGGTGAGCGGGCTCCACAGCAAGAGCAGCCCCTCCACGAGGCCCCACCTCCAGGTCTGACGCGCTCAGGTGCGATTAAGTCTATGTGTTTGCTGCCTATGGATCTGCCCCGACCGTAGAGCCTGCTTATGGGGGAAGGTGAGTGACGGTGAGCATCTTTGCTGCTTGTTTGTTTGCCAAGAATGCATGTAACACAGTCCAGCTGACTCTGGAAAAAAGAAGTACATTCAGAGTGGGACAGATGTATTTTTCCCTCTGGCCTCTGACATGGTCTCAGCTGGGGAATGGTGCCAGGGAGAGGAGACAGGGGCAAGGGGCAAGGGGCAGCTTGATAAAGAAGACAGTCCATGCAGATGCGATGACCAGGCCTGGCTGTAAAATCTGTTAATGCAGATTCACAACACAAGCATTACATAGGTTCTGAGCTAATGTACCTCCCAGGTGGTTGTCAAAGAGATGTGTGCATCTTTAAAAAGTCACAGATCTTTATGAGGGACTCTGGCCCCCCACCAGCCCTGAAGTTCTCGTTCCCAGCTCTGGCTCCTGCCCTGCCCTGCCTCAGTGCCGGCTGTGTGCTTCAGGTTTCTGGTTTCAGCTCAGCATCACTAATCCTGTGCTGCTTGCCCCAGTTCCGTGAGCCTGTGTCCTGTGTCTCAGTCTTTGCTTTGTTCTTCCCATGGAGGAAGCTTGAAACCATTTCAGCCTCTGGGTGTCTGGGCTGAATGTCAGTGAGTGGTCACAGCAGACTACAGTCTGCTGGGCGTGGACAGCAGCTGGATCAAACAGCTCCTTTCACATGACTGGTGTGCCCCAAACTGTGGTCACAAACTGTGGTCACGGGGGAGGCAGCTGGTTATCTAAACCAGAGCTGGGCCTGACCAGGGTTCTTCGGCGCATGTGCAGGAAGGGCCAGGAGCACCCCCAGGCCAATGCTGGTCTCTCAGCCTCCTTTTCAGCTTGCCCAGATCCATGCTGAGGAGCCTGGCACTGCTGGGCAGCCTGCCTAATCCCTGGCCAACATTTGCCAGGTACCCATGCATCAGTGGCCTGAGCATCTGACCCCATGTTAGGCATGGGGTGTAGCTGCAGAAGTAATAGGTCATCTTCTGCTAAGTAAACCCATGGCCATCTAGCAGGTGCCTGGCCCTGTAGCCCAGCCATCCCCAGGAACCCAAGTGCCCAGTGTCAGTCAACCACCAGGGGGTGTAAAACGGTTCCCCTCCCTATCCTCTGGTCCCATTTGCCTTGCACCCTCCAGCCTGACACTGCCCCTGGTCCCATTCTCAGTTCTCGCCTGCCTTGGTTTCTCTTGGTTCCATGAAGCTTGCTGGTGGCATGATGCCCCGTTGCCACCACCCATCAGTTTCCTCAGGCCTTCAGGCCCACCTCCTCAGTCCTTTTATGGTCCCCGTACCCCTCTGATCCATCTCTGGGGTGCTGGGTCCAGTCCTGGATTGACCTGCACACATCTTCCTTTCTGTCTGGCCTCTGTGCTCCTACCTGCACATGAACAGGCAGGCCTGCCCCTGGACTGGCCTTGCTGTCACCACTCGCTCACTCACCTTGCACCAGACCTGCCTGCCAAAGTCCAAGGCCTGCCCCTGCTAGACCCACCAGCCAGTGTCCAGGCCAACCCCATACTCTCAACCACACTTGACCCGTCAGCCACCCACTGGGCAAGAGCATAGCCCTCACAGCTGAGCTTTATGGCCGTGAGCAAGGCCACGCGAATGTCCTGTTCTTCCCATCCTCCTCTGCATCAGTGAGGACAGACCCCACATGGGGCCTTGCTGGAAGGCATGCATCAGCCGATGGGGCCAGGCCCATTTCAGGGCTGCCTGCATGCTGCCCCCTGCACCCCCTCCTCTGCCTGGCCACTAAGTGCTGATGTTGCCAGGACCCGGTGCGCCATGAGGCGCGGCAGTGGAGCCTGCCCTGGGCAGGCGGAAGCACCAGTAATGGCCCTCGTCATGGGGTTGTTGCTGGCCAAGCCATTTGTCACCATGCGCCAGGGCTTCCAGTGCACGTCCCTTACCTAGAGATTACATCTATAAATTGCATTCCAAGGAAATAAGAGGGGCAGAAAGAGGCCCACCCAAGGATTATCGTCAAAGACTGTTTAGTGTAATAATTCAGAAACCTGGAACATGCAGTTATCACAGATTGGTTACATTCTTAGGCAAAAAAATGTAAGCTGGAACGCATAAAATAGAATATGGGAGTAATTTATGACTTATGTAGATTTAAATATATCAACATAAAAAAATATTTAATATACAATGTTAAGTGAGAAAAACAAGATAAATGGATGGTTTTGTCCCATTTTTGTTAAAAAATAAAATGCACACCTCCTAGAAAACAGTCTGAGTAGGGTAGACCTCAAAATATCCTGGTGTCTCTGGGTAATGATTTTATGATCTCTCTGGGTAGGTTATTTTTGCATATATGCATCTTGCTTTTTTTCCTGTAGTGAGCATCCAATAGTTGTGTAATTAAAAATTTTTTTTCCTGTAACGGGCAGTTCGCTGACTTTGGCAGGAAGGCCTGCAATGCCCTACACTCCCTGTGCACCTCTGCTGGCCTGGAAAGCCACAGCGTGTTCTGTAGGCTGTTGCCATAGCTGGCTCACACCCCTGCAAAATGTACACCCGTCCCACAGCCAGCAACTCCCCTCTGCATTTGTTTTACCATGACCTGTTAGGTGTTTGCATCATGTGTCTGCATCTGATTTCATGTAAGATGCTGAGATGAAAGTGATGACTCAGGAAAGGTGGAGCTGGAGCGACTTCCTGCTTTTGGTGGCGGAAGGGCCTGTCCTGACGGTGGGCCACGGGCATCCTTCGTGCTGCCCAGACACATCAAGATGGTATCCTCCATTTCTAAGCTTCTGCAAGTGGCAACCTGGTGGGGCTGGATCGGGAAGCTCTGGGCCCACGCACGACAAGGAGGGTGGGCAGGAGGGTGTTTGCGGTTGGTGCTGTTTTGGCCCAGCTCTGCTGAGGAGATGTCACCGCGGTTCCAGGACCAGCCACAGGCAGGGCCCCTCCCAGGCAGACGGCTGCCCGCAGCAGTGACAGCTGTTCCTGAGGGCTGCCCTCTGATTAACAGTGGGCCCTGGGGCTCTTTCCCCCACACCCCGTCCCCTTTCAGTGCTTTAGCCCTGTGGCCGTCACTCTGATCTGTGCACCGGCCCTGTCTGTGGGCGGGAGTCACTGACATGACAGTGCATCCATGCCTCCAACAGAGGCATCTGGGTGAAAAGTAGGTCACATGTGCCTGGTCCCATGTCACGAGGTTTCCAACCTGAGGCCAATGGGATTTGTAGCCTCCTTTGGTAGGACAACACTCCACGCCAGTTCTCCTCCTTCAGCACTTCATCCTCCCTAAGCAAGGAGAGTGACCATCTGTCTGACAGACGCATCCAGCCGGCCCTTCCCGTCCTCGCAGAGCCACTTTGCTCCTAGGTAAGGGGCGCGGGGGCCAGGCCAGGGCTGTATGGGCCGTGGGTCTGCGCGGGGGCCAAGGAGCTGGGTGTGCCGGTCATCGCCAGTGGTGCTGGGAGGGGCCGCCATGCAGCCCAGTGCTGTCCTGCGGTAGGGGAAGTGGGAGTCGTGTCTGTGTGTCGTTGCTGACCTTGGGGTGATGGCATTCATGTCAGGTCCCCTGCTCAGTAATATGGCTCCTTTTTATGGATCGAGGTCAACTAGGTAGAAGAGTGAACGTAGTCCCGCAGACGGCTGTCAGTCAGTGACCCTGGGATAGTGCTGGGAGGGTGGCCTCCCCGCAGCCCGGGGCCTGCGCTCTTGGCATCGGTGAATGTCGGCCTCTGATGGGAACAGATTGCTGCCGGCTTCCGCGGTGTGAATGAGAACACTGGGAATTCCACACCTCCAAGTAAGGCCAGCTCGTATGTATGGGTGATGTGGAGAACACGCGCTTTGGAGCTTGGCACTTAATGCTCTTACCTCTGGCCAAGCCGGACAATGTGCTTCCACTGTGATAGAGCAGATATGGAATGTGTAATAGTTTAAAGGTATAAAATGAATGTGAATTTTGTAGCTCACAAATAACAAAATTTCTTTTTTGCCTGTCCTCTAAATGAGCTGAAGTATTCTGTTAGTTCAGAATCTTTTTGATGAACACATCTTAGCAAGTAATGAGTAGCATATAAAATGTTTTCGATGTCTGTATAGCCACTGACCACTGGGACCACATTTAGACAAGTGATGTGCTCCTGTTTTGGGTTTGCTGGGAAAAAATGTTTCCAGCAGTGGTGGGCCAGCACTAAAGTTATGGGATTTGGTTTGAGGATGTTCTGTTGGGGAGAAGCTTTTGTCCTTCAGACATATTTAAAATTTGTATTTTAACTAGCTTTCCAGGAAACAGGTCCATGGCCAAGTTCATTGACGTTAGATGTAAACGCTACATTTTAGGTGTAAAAATAGTACTTGTTTTGTAGCAGAAGCAGCTTTTCTCCTCTTGAAAGTGGTGCCTCCCAGCAGCACTGTGCACCCAGGGCCCACCCGCCCCCACCCACCCCCTCCGATGGAGGCCTTTGAGCGGCTCTCACGTGATACTTCTGAAGCACTCCTTCTCTCCCATCCTCCAACTTGAAGACTCTCCTACCATTTCATTCAGAGAAGGCAGAAAATGTTTTTCATATTCATGATCATAAACACTTCTTTTATGCCTAGGGAAAGTTTGCAGTGTTTAACAGACCCCTTTTTCCTGCCCCTCCTGCCCCGGGGCCCCTGAGCAGGAGAGCACAAGCCCACAGTCAGCCAGTGGGCAGCAAGACTAAGGTGCACTGCCCCGATGGCTGTGTGTCAGTAAGATGGACAGGAGCCCCCCGATTATTGCCTTTAGGAGAAGTGAGAACTTCTGTCCCTAGAAATACAACCTGCGCCCTGCGAGTGTTACAGGATGATTTTCCCTACTTACTGGTGGCATAGGTGATTGTTTTTCTAGAAATAGTTCAAACAAGCAATGCAGAGGCAGCAAGGCCCCTGCCCTGTGCACTTCTTAGAGGAAGAGGGTCCAACACGAAGCCAGCGGATGCTGCCCCTGGCCCAGGCGTGTCTCCACCCATGCCCACCTGCACTGTGCACGCCCTTCCCTTCCCACCTGCCTGGGTGCAGATAACTCAGCTGTCCTACCAGCACGCTCAGTGCTTCCTGGGGTGGTTTGTTTGGGACTGAAAGACCTCGGGTGGAGCTGGGCCTGACTGGCCTCTGCATGCCCTGCTAACTGCCAGCACTGTGTTTGGTGGGGGGTGAGCCTTCTGTGAGGGCGGGCTCTGTGCAGGAAGGCACATTGACACCATGGGAGGAAGCTCAGGAGGATTTGGGGCCCCAAGCACCCCACAGCTGACGCCTTTGAAGAGACATCTTCATTCTGGCTGAGGTGGGGGATTCAGATCCCGGAGGGCTGGGGACCACAGGCAGGTGCTGTGCCTTGGGGCCGCAGGGCTGTTGGAGTGGCAGAGCCGGTGCACATGGTCTATCCTGGAGGAGGGAGCCTGGCCTTCCTTCTCTTTGAGTGTCAGCTGCAATAGTTTAATGAACAGTGTGGGACTGTGGTTCTCTAAGAGGGTCCTGGACCTAGAACTGTCTGGAGAGGCAGATCACTAGCGCCCCTGCTCCAGCCACCTGAGTCAGAAACTCTGGGATGGGCCTGGTTGGTGACTGGCCGAACCTTCCTCGCATGGTGCTGACGTCCACATTAGTTGGAGAGCCGCCAGCCCCACCGTGCAGGAGCGAGTATGGTCGATGGTCCTGCAGTGAGCCTGGTATGGTGGGCCAGTGATCTGAGGACACAGCCAGGTCGGAGGCTGAGTGTCCTACCTGAGCTGAGAGGAGCCCTGAGGTGTGGTTTGTGTGTTTAATGGTACATGTGACCCTGGTGTGCAGCTCTGTTCTTACGGAACTGAGGTTTTGCAGGGCCTCTTCCGGCTACGCCTCTGCTACGCAGTGGACCCCGTCGCCCAGCAGTTCCCACCTGCCCACCTGCTGAGCAGGAGCTGGAAAAACAGAAGAGCAGGACTGTGAGGAAACCTTCGGTGTACAGGCAGGCAAGAGGGCAATGTGGGGGAGCCTCAGGACCCCACTGCCTCATGGCCCCTTTGTCTGGGCCGGGGTGACCACAGGCCATCTGCTGGGTGGTTGGGGAAGGAAGCCGGGGCACTGCAGGGTGGCAGGAGCCACGGTCACATCCTGCATCTCGGAGGCCCGGCTGGCTCTGGGACAGCCCCGGAGACACCCTGTCTCTGCCTGAGGCTCCTGCTCCTGAAGCCCAAGTGCCCTGGTCTGCATGCAGCCCCCACATGAAAGCGTGTGCATGGGGGGCATCATCAAAACCAAAAGAGTCCAAAAGGTGTAAAAGCCCTAATTACGGGCACAGTACTGGGTGAGTGAGAACCAGCAGAGAGCAACAAAACCCTCTGACAGGAGCAGGCGTAGGGGCAGACCTGGAGGGAGTGGGTTTGTTTTATTTTGCTTTAATACAAGTGGCATTTAAATCAATAGGAATGGGTCAGCTCTTCCATAACTATGCCTATTAAGAGAAACACCAATTCTAGAACTTTACTGCAGACCAAATGTGTCTGAGCTGAGGTGCCAAGCTGCAGAGGTCTCAGCAGTGTTCCAGCATTAAAGCCGGTCTCTCCGGGGAAGGGCACCCTCGGCCAAGTGCATCCCACAGGCAGCAGACGGACAGGTGGCCATACCTCTGTGCCCACCCGCCAGGTCTGGAGCGGCCTGCTGCTGGGGGACAGGACAGCAGCAGGTCACAGCGACATGGAAGGCTGTGTGCCCTCACGTAGTGATGTGCTGAAGAAACACAGGGGAGCCCATAGCCGGCCCATGGTGACTGCATCCAAGCAGACTAACATAGAGAGTGGCGGATCTGTGCGGGCCGCAGGGCCACAAGTGTCGTGCATGTGTGGCATGGGAACCCCAGCAAGTTGCCCCCCCACCAGGAATCTCTCCTCTGAAGATGTGAGCACATGGAGATTTATAGGGGAGGAGGGGACCCTCGTTCCCCCATTAGGATGGCAGGCTTTGTATGGGAGTGGAGGGGAACACAGCATGGCTCGAGGACCCTGCAGCTGATGCCATTGAGGGGAGAAGGGTGAGCCACTGTGGGGCCGCGCTAACATCACACATCGAAGTCCACGTAGCAGTGAGCTAAGTGGCCTACCAGGAGCCCAGCTCCATTGCCTGAGCGCCGAGGGCCTCAGGAATGCTGTCCCACTGGAAGAAGCCAGACACAGAACCATGCCCATCGCAGGTGAAGAGCAGTGGGGGGCAGTGGCATTCGTGGGTTGTTGGGGTGGGGCTGGCTGGGCTACAGATGGCCAGGGTGCCTCTCCTGGGGTCTGGGGTGTCCCATGTCATGACCTGCAGGCCCAGGTAAGTGCACATGTGGAAATCAGCCTGCACGCATAGGCTTTGTGTGTTTTACTGCTTGTGAGTCATAGCCGTGTACAACCAGTCACAGACACGCAGTGGGACCTCATGCAGAGCCTAACAGCGGCATGTCTGTCTGGAGATGCAAAGAGAGCATCCGGAGGGAGCAGCTCCCCAGGGCCCTGGGGCTGTTCTACCCCCTCCGTCTCGAGCACCTCTAAGAGCCCAGGCCTTGTCCCCCGCAGCCCTCAGCCCCCATGGCTGTCTGCTGACAGTGGCTTTGCTTTATTGTTTTGTTCTTTACTGGTTGTAAAAAGGATTCTGCTGTCTCAGTGAAATCTTTTAAAAGCCACGTTTAGACGTATATTTTGACTGTTGAGTGTCCAGATGCAGATTGGTGACAGGAATGCCGGCCTCAGTGGAGGCCTGGGTTCCAACTCTCTGGCTCAGGCACTGTTCCCAAGGGGGTGGCCATGGGAGTCAGAGGTATTCCTGCCCACCTGTCTGGCCACCTCCATGGCACCTGTGTCCAGGACAGCTCCTGGCTGGCCTTCAGCAGGCTGGCCCCCGAGAATCACCACTGTTCCCACCCCGTCCCAGCCCCTTGTGCAGCTCCCAGTCAGCAAAGACCCTGGCCCATGGCGCAGTGGAAGCAGGGAGGCATGCTGGGACCTGATGGCTGAGCAAGGGGGGAGGCCCAGGGGGCATGACATTACCTGAGGCAGGTCTCCTGCCTCTGTTGTGTCATTGTGTCCCCAGCTGTGTGTCCTGTCAGGGGAGTCCATGGGGTCCTGGGTCGGCTCTGGGCATCTCTCAAAACCTCATTTCCAATATGGGAGAATATATTTGTAAATGACATATCTGACAAGGTGTTAATATCCAAAATATATAAAGAACACACACGCCTCAACACCCAAAAAGCAAATAACACTATTAAAAAATGGTCAGGGGATAAGAAGAGACAATTCTCCAAAGAAGAAATTCAGATGGTCAACAGGCACATGAAAAGATGCTCCACATCGCTAATGAGGGAAATGCAAATTAAAACCACAATGAGA